TGCCACCAAGACCAATATTCCTGTATGGGGAGTGAACCTAGAGAAAGTAAAGAAAACACAGACAATAGTTGTTGTTGCTAAGTGCTGTCGAGTTGGTTTACACTCAAATCGACCTTCTATAAGGTTTGCAAGGAGCAACTGGTGGATTTGAACTGCTGACCTTGTGGTTAGCAGTCCAGAACTTATGGACTGAACAGCTTCTTCTGCTCTATATTCTTAACATTAACAATGAACAGATATTCTCTTTTCCTTTGCAAAGTGCAAGTTTGTTGGCTCAGATAAGAAATGAATGAAAGATATAGTAGAAGAAAAAACTATGACTTAAAGTCCTAGTGTGGCACTGTGGGATAATGCACTGGACCACAAGGTCGGTATGAACTGCAAGGCTGGTGGTTCAACTATAGTAGCTGCTCCTTGGAATCCTGTACAGGGTCACTATGAGTCAGAACTGACTCGAAGCACTTAACAAGTGATTTATGGCATTGAGTGTTATCCTAGGTAGAATTCCTGCAGTTACTAAAGGGTTATAATACATCTTTTGCTATTTCTCAATTCATTGGGATTTGGCCTACGACCAGAGTTCTGGAAGGCCTAGTTATTCAATTAAACATCACTTTATTGGTTATTAGCGATGCCTGCCAACATCACAGCTGGCTACTTTTATGTCTACACAAAGGTCAGATTTCATCACACCATATGCTATTTATATTATAAGATATATAAAACAGGCTATTAGACAGGCTATGAGATAAGGTTTTATATATTTGAGTAATAATTGCTATAGTAAAATATATCTTTAAAAAGCTCTGTAATATTACAATTTGACATTCCACAAATAGAAAAATGTACATAACAAATGGAAGAAAAATCATCAAATAAAATTTAAGATAGGTTCTTCTATGCTAAATATTGTTGTTGTTAACTGTCGCTAAGTTGGTTCTGACTCATAGCAACCCTGTATAGGGTTTCTGAAGAACAGCTGGTAAGTGTGAACTGCCGACTTTGTGGTTCAAACAGACCTTGTGATCCAGCGTATTATCTTGCAGTGCCACACCAGGAAGTAAGAAATCTAATCAACTAATTTTTAAAACTCCCAAGTAGTTAAAAATTTTAAATGGAAGCTAAAAAGAGAAAACTGTCAGTTAACTACAGTATATATTTAGCACTGTTCACTCCTGGTATGGTGTTGTAGAATCAGCACTGGATTGAGAACTGCATGGTCAGTAGTTCAAACCCACCAGCTGCTCCTCAGAAACCCTCTACAGGGTGGCTTTGAATTGAAACCGACTTGATGACACCTAAAAATACCAATAACAGTCCCCCAAGGAAACAATTTTTATCCACAGATTTTGCATCTGCAATGCTCAAATCAGTTTGACACATGTGCCACCCACACACCAACCAACATCAAGTCAAGTCAGTGATCCCGGTCTGAGGTTCTAGTGCAACCCTTAAATAACCGGCTATGGAAAAGCCATTTATATTTGCTTCCAAAATACCCTAGTAATACCATAAAAGGTTTGCAGTAAATCTAGAAAGTTTGTTGGCATCTACCCTGATTCAGCTCTGTTAGTGCTGGCAGATGTCCTGTTCTTCCTTAACTTGATCCATGCCATTTCTCCATCTTAAAATCCTCCCAAAGCACTTTATCATAAGCAAAATATTATGTAAGAATTCTTTAAAATTCATACATTAAAAGATACAATTACACCTGAAATGTAATCTCTCAGTGGATGGCAGTACTCTTTTCCAACTTTTATTGTAGCTGTTTGTATATTGCATAGACCATGGGTTCAGTTTTACCAAGCTTAAATTCAAACTCTAAATTTGAATTTAATTTCTCTCTAATTTAATTTCTCTAAATTTTGTTTTCTTCATTACTAAGGTATCTTCACAGAACTGTCAAATTATTTTCAAGATTATAAAATATATTTCATGTTTTCATTTGCCGGGGGGATATAGGTAAGAGGGAAAAATCCCTCTTGAAGTACTCTGGTCTTTTGCTTTAATGTTTATTAACTGCTTCCTAGATGTAGTACTGTGGGGTAGTATCACACAGTTCAAACCTACCACCAGTACCACAGGAGAAAGATTTAGTCTCAGAAACCCTATATAGGGACACTATAAGTCAGAATCGACTCAGTGGCAATAACAACAATACCATGTTGTTGTTAAGTGCCGTCAAGTCAGTTCTGACTCATAGCAACCTGTGTAAGGTTTTCAATGACCAGCTAGTGGGTTTGAATCACCAACCTTTCCGTTAGCAGTCCAGTGCTTACCCTACAGTGCCACACCAGGACTCCACAGCAGTAGGTTAGATCTATTAAACAGCTGTTGTCTTGGAACTTCTCTTTACCACCATCCGATTCCCTGTGGCTCTCCACTATATTTGATTTTTAATTTTGGGGGGTAAAATATTATTTATTCTGATTTATTTCATCATTTGGATCACATCTCCTAAGAAAGGGTTCACAGAAAGCAAACTATTTAAAAACATTCCATGTCTCTTAATATCACTATTTAACCCTTGACTGATAATTTGGATTACTACAGATTTCTAGTGTTCAAAATTTTTCCTTTGGAGTTATGAAAGGCAGTGCTCATTATCTTTGCCTATGAAGTTTCATGAAATTCTGACTGACATCATTTTCATAATGACATACAACTCACATATCACTTCACTATGCTGAGCATCCAAATATCCCTTTGAAATGGTTGAAAACATCCCTAATATGATAAAACACACAAATCTACTCATTTGACAAACTCAATAAATACAAAAGGACTAAAACAGAACCAGAGATAAAGGAAATTTCCTCAACATGATGAAGATCATTTATGAAAAGCCCATAGTTAAGATCATACTCTGACATCTATTTTGGTCTTTTCTTTCTTTCCTGTCTTCTTAAGAATATTTTGCTTGAGAAGACAAGAAAGAAAGATCTATATGATGTCCTTGATGTAACAATTCTTCTGCCCTTTGCCACTGGTACTCAATGCATCAAACTGATAGCCATCTGTGGCTCTAGGATTTACTCTAATAACTTATTGGTTTCCTAATAGGTAATTAGCTTCTTACTACTACTGTAACAAATTATCAAAATTTGAGTGACTTTGAACAACACAGACTTATTAATTTATACTTCTGGAAGCTAGAGGTCCAAAATCAGCCTCACTAAACTAGAGTCAAAGAATTAGCAGGGATGTTTCCTTCTGGAGGCACTATGGGAAAATCCATTTCCTTTTCTGTCAACTTCTAGAGGCTATCTACATTTGTTGATTCTTTTCCCTTTCCTCCATCTTCAAAATTGCTTGCACAGTGTCATCACATCGCCCTCTACCTTTCCTATTCCTTTTTATAAGCACATTTGTGACTACATCAAGCCCACCTGGATAATTCAGTTATGATCTACCCATTTCATGACTTAATGACTTCTATAAGCCAAGATAAAGAGCTATGGTAGCTTAGTGCTTATGAGTTGGGCTGCTAACCTCAAGGTCATCAGTTTGAAAGTACTAGCTATTTCCCAGGAGAAAAATGAGGCTTTCTGCTCCTGTAAAGATTTACAGCCTCAGAAACCCTGTACAGGGTCGCTATAAGTCAGAACCGACTCCATGGCATACCATCACCACCACCATAAGCCAAGATTGGCAGTTCAAACCCACTAAACTCTTCAACAACACAAAGCTATTTTGCAATATTTGATGTTGTTAAGTGTCCTTGGGTCAGTTCCAACTC